TCTGATCTAGGTGTTCCTGCTCTGGCAGAAGGATTGGACTACATGATATTTGAAGTCCCTTCCAATCTCTAGCATTCTGTGATTCCCTTTCACTTCCCCAAACCCAGCATCACAACCACAACTGCAGTATACACAACTTCCTAACTTGCATAACAGAAGAATCAAAAGCGAAGACCGAGAGACATTAGTTTATATAGTATCCAGTGAGCAAGGCAAAGTAGTAGTGACATATACTTACTTTTTCTTTGCTTCGTTGTCCCCTGGGATTTGCCTTTTCTTTGGGGGAGGTGGTGGGGGCAACTCCTGTCTGGATTGCTTAACCACTACCTGTTCCTTCAATGGCATTGCTTCTGCAGCAGTCTTCTGTGAAACCTGTGACATACCTACACTTCCTACAGCTTGTGTTACCTATACAAAATAATTTAGCAAAAGGGTTAAATGCCATTTTTAGTACAAACTTAATTGCTTTTGCTTAGTTCCTTTTCTTTATCAATCATAAAAGCCCATTCATTCACTCATACAAATGACCACACCTGGCTGTCATGAAGGACCTTTATCATCAAGGCATTCCAGAGAAAAACTTCATTGTTCTCATTTTCCAGACAGGAACTATGCATCAAAACTCTCAATCCAACTAGAATTTCATGCCAGTCCAAGTGAACTTAACAAAATAAGCATGATATCTCTTTCCTTAATTGCTTAATTCACAGAAAGAACCAAGATCCTTTGGTGTTATAAGACACAATTCTATATTTTATACTCATACGCCATAAAACCAAGCCTAGATCTCAGAAAGAGCTGATACACAGTGGATTTGACCTAAGGACTGATTCAAGTCAATAGAAACCTTCCGCACTCCTTAAGAAGTGATAAAGTGAGTCCCATGGGAATCAAAGAGTGGTTTGGGTTGGAAGGAACCTGAAAGATCATCGAGTTCCAACCCCCCTGCCATGGGCAGGGACACCTCCCACTAGCCCAGGTTGCTCAAAGCCTCATCCAGCCTGGACTTGAACACCTCCAGGGATGGGGCATCCACAGCTTCTCTGGGCAACCTGGGCCACTGCCTCACCACCCTTTACAGTGAAGAATGTCTTCCTAATATCTAAACTTCCCCTCTTTCAGCCTAAAAACATTACCCCTTGTCCTACCACTACACTCCCTGATGAAGAGTGCCTCCCCATCTCTCCTGTAGCCCCCTTTCAGCACTGGAAGGCTCCTATAAGGTCTCCCCAGAGCCTTCTCTTCTCTAGGGTGAACAAGCCCAACACTCTCAGCCTGTCCTCATATGAGAGGTGCTCCAGCCCTCTGACCATCTTTGTGGCCTCCTCTGGACCTGCTCCAAGAGGTCCATGTCCTTCCTGTGCTAAGGACTCCAGAGCTGGATGCAGTACTCCAGGTGGGTTCTCACAAGAGCAGAGAGGGAGAATCACCTCCCTTGACCTGCTACTCACACTTCTTTTGATGCAGCCCAGAACACAGCTGGCTTTCTCAGGGGCTGCAAGTATACATTGCCTGGAGCTTCTTGTCTACCAACACCCCCAAGTCCTTCTCCTCAGGGCTGCTCTCAATCCATTCTCCTCCAAGCCTGTATTTGTGCTTGGGGTTGCCCTGATTCACGTGCAGGATCTTACACTTGGCTTTGCTGAACTTCATGCTGATCTATAAGTTCCATGAGCTTGATATTTAGGGGGAGTAAAAAGGATGAAGAAAAGTTTTGGCACTCTTCTGTGCTTTGATTCCAATGTAAGAAGAAATTAAAAACATATGGCTGCTATGGGCCCCTACTCTGTACAACTCATTCACTAGACACTAAGTGGGTTGCGAATCAGTGACACAGCCTTCACCATAACATTTTAATATCACAAAAAAGGGACATACAAGTCATAAAACTGTCAAATGAAATTCTCACAGAAGCCAATGGGAGTTCTGACTAAACAAAAACCCAAAACATTACCAAGCACTCAAAATTCTAAAATAAACATTTGACAATCCAGCTTGGCTATCATCATTACATATCAAACAAACAACTACTCTATTTTCAACAGATGAGAAATCATACTCACAGAGCATAAATGCTTGTATGACTCCCATTTATTTATCTATTCTGGGTTTTGTGTTTTGTCTTTATTTTCTTTTAGTATCAGATTTAATCCCATCCCAGCATTCTTATAATTGTTTAAAGGCATTTGTATTGATTGATAATACATGGCAAGCCTGCTTTACTCATCAGAAAAATGAAGCTTAATCTGTGTAAGAAAGGAGTAATAGTACTAGTCAGGTTAACAACTTGGGGTTTTGAAGATCAAAAAACACTTTTTCAGCAGATCAAGTCAGCCTCGTGTGGAAGAGCACCCACCTACCTCTCTAGCTTAATGCCAAGAACTCACCTGGGCAATTTTGCTGACAGTATCAATGAGGTATGCATACACACAGACATCTCAACAGATTAAAAAAGTAATAAAGCCTTGTTAAGTACCTGATTAGAGAAATCCTCTAGCTTCTGAACCAAACTGTCCCACCTCTGAGTTAATTCTTCTTGATCTTGATCAATTTTAGTGGATGCTCTGCCATTCCCAAGAATTTGGGCCACATCCTGACCTAGCTCATTCAGCTGGTCCAGTGTTTGCCGTTTCATACCCATGTCCTCTTTCAAAATCTGATGTTAAAAGAAAACAGTAAAAGACAACATCAAGTATTCTGCCACCCCTTAGTTTCTAATTCTAGGGAGGTTAGTGCAAATGTACTACCCGAGCCAGATGCACCATAGGTTTCAAAACAGTTCTCTTGTGTAACAAAGCACTGACACCTTAAAAAAAGCACATCCCTGAAACAGCTCCTAGAGCAATCAGCAGTATCTCTTGAATAACAGCTAGAAATGATTAGCTTATGGTACAAGCTACACCAACATTAAAAAAAAAAAAACCACACCACAAAACCAAACCAAAACCACAAACCACAAACCCACACTTTGGAAAACACAGCTGATGGGGGGCCTGCAATAAACTCCCAACCCTGTCAAAAACCCAGAGTAGCTGTTCCAAAGTTTGGCACACCAGCCTGGAAGGTCCATGGATTAAGTTGTACACATTTTTTAAATTGAAGTGCAAGAATCTGGCAAAGAGAGAATACTGGCCTGGCTTCCAAAGTATCATGCATTCACAGCTCCTACTAGGGTCACACTGGTAATTTGCCATTCGTTTAGTCTGAGATTTGACAGGACAGAGCAGGATAGCGATACTCACTGCTAGTTTTCGAACATTCACACTCAGGTCTGTTTGATCTTTAAAGTTGCTTGTCTGGACCTTACTCAAAGCCTCTTCTTTCTCAGTTAACCAAGCTTTCAATAAACACTGTAGATCATAAGAAAATAGCACAAGAAAATACCACATTTGTCAAGCAAATTTGGAAGGAATTTGACAATTCCTTAAGGTCTTTGCATTCAAAGAACAGTTCTGCGGTCTTTAAAGCCAACTGAAATTCCTGCATGTAACAGCAGTAGTACATAAAGGGGGACAAAAAAAATATCAGATCAGAGAACTAAGTCATACTTTCCAGCAAAACAATTTCAACAAAACCATTTCTCAATATATAAGAGGGCACCCCCCCAAGTTATTTATAGCAACCAGATATCCACCATAAAGCTAACGCAAGACTTACAAATTATATTAGAATTAAACATATACAAGATACATACACTTTCTTTCACTCTCCACTGTTCTTTTGTGATTCAAAACCAGCCATTACAAACATTTTCTCACAGAAGCGACACCACTGATAATTCAAAGCTCTTTTAGTTCAAGCAGTTGGTCAAAGACACAGACATTAGTCACCTCCCTGTTTACTGTACCTACTTTCAACTGCAAAATATCATCAGCAAATACTGGCCCATTAACTGCAGAAAGGAATGGCCTCCTCTGGATAGTACTAACTCAGGGATCTTTTAACTTTTTCCACTTTTTTTTTTTAAAAAAACCTGTCCTGGGTCTCACTTCTCTTCAGTCACACAGCACTCCCGTGGAAACTCCAGCAATAACCAGCATCAAGTATCAGAAGGATTTTATACATTTCATACTATAGTGCAGCATATTGCTGCCTAAGTGATGGTATTTATTGTTATAAGCTATAGTTTATATTCTGCAGATTGTTTAGACATTTGAAAGAAGTAGAACAGTGCTGATACAGCCGTTGCTATCAGTTGCAGCCTGGCTGCTTTGACAGGGATGCATTTTTGGGGATTGCATACGTGTTTCTCCCTGAACCCCTCGCATATCTATTTGCAGTATATTGATAAGCTGAATTTGCAGCTCATGTGACCTTGTTAATATGGACCCAAAGTTCAGGTTCACCAATGCCAGGTATCAATTTTTACATATTTCTTTAAAATACTGAGTTGGCATATGTGTACATATATACTGAAAAGTGTGTGTTAACATTTTCTGGCAACTCTTTGGCAAGTCTCTGAATTGAGAAACAAAGATTCCTCAAAAATCATTGCTCTGCATGTCAAGATACAGACTTCAAACATTCTGTTTTGATGACCCTATGTGAATACGTTTCCATCCTCTTCCACCCTTATATTTTTCTGGGGAAAAGTGACCACTCATGGACTATTACAATACTGTTAGGAGTGTTATCTTCTGTTGGAGTTGATTTACCTTCAGCTTTTTTCAATTTGTATCTAATTATATTGGTCTGTAAAAGTGAAAAAAATAGGTGTTTGTTTAATGTAGAATGTCAGATAGCAAGTAATGAGGAAATAGAAGTTTATTTTAGGTGGTTTGCATTCGTTGTTCAAGTCTTGAACAGTGCATTTATCACCAACAGGTTTGAATTACAGTTCTCTGTTTGCAAGAATTCTCAAGCGACCTACAAAAATTAGTTTGAAACTAATGAAAAACTTTCATACAAACATTTTGTTAATACAAAAGTAACTAAAACATTTAGATATATAATTTTCCATTTTGCCCAGCCAGATGGAGAGATGAGCAACAGCAATGCATCAGCCCTTTTGTGGCTGCCTAGAAAATTTTTGGAGACTACATAGCCAAGTCAACACAATTCCTACTACTCAGGAAACAAATTGCTCAGTCAGTGCCAGATATTTCTCAGCACTGTGACAATTATGTTTCAGTTTTCTAGGGAGAGTTATCTTTGACTGCTGATTTAGCAGAAATTAATTGAATACGTGGAAGGGTTTTTTAAGCTCTTCTTATGTGTAAAATAAATTGGCTGGGATACCAGTATGATTTTTCCATAGAGTATGTTATAATTTTGTTTCTCACAGCCTTATGGCATTTCCACCACCATCATATTAGCTGTCCGTACATTTTGGATATTGGTTTACATTGGCAATGTAAACTGCCTTAACCCTTTGGCCCAAACATTGCTGTAGTCAGTTCCGGAACAATGCCAAAAATATACAGCTAGACTGAGGAGCCAAAGAACAGAAAGGTCTGCTTTGCTGTATCATTGGTTTTTTGGGGCATGTTGGGGGGAATTCTGGGACGTGTTGGGGGGGGGTTGTTTTTGGTTTAGGGGTTTTGTGTTGTTTTGGGGTTTTTTTGGTTTTTAAAACAGAGGAGTAGCAGTGTGCCAGTGGCTATACAACTAAGCTTGACAGAGATGGGTATTCTATAGAGATGGCCGTGCACCAATTTGAGTAAAGCCTTCAAAGGGAAAAGCCCACAGATTTTAAGCTGAGACACAAAACAAGCTCAAGCACTAGGCATGCAAAGTTAATGCATGTAGTTGTGTTACCATGCTTTTTTATGCCATCAGTTAATTTGTGTTTGAGCAGTATATTTAATACGTATGTAAAATGCATGATATCAGAGTAAGAAAAAGAACTCACAATGCTATCTTGTTCACAATTCAACTGTTTCTCTAAACTCAGAAAAATTAGATGAGCTGCATACTTTGCTACATTGACCAAGTGTTTCATTTTACTGATTTTGAAAACAGTATCTATTGATTAGTTGATTGCACAATTGTGTACATGTACCCATGCTGGAAGCACATACAACTTAATTAGGAAAAACTTCCGCAATTACCAAACCACCGAACACTTAGTGATTCATATTCCCACTTCTTGGCCATTTTGCAAGCTACCTTAGAAATTATTTTATAAGGAGTTACAAAGTTTATTTCTTAACCTTCAGAAAATACTTCTCTTGTGCTGCACAGCTACTCTACTCCTCAAGAAATGCTAGGAACCTAAACAATAACAAAGTCTAGTATTTTAAGGCTACATAGGGGCTTCGGGTTTTTTTGTTTGGTTTTTTCCCCCTCCACAAATCAACCAGTAACTCTGAGTAACTGAAGAGCTACCAACCTGCTCTTCCAGCAGCTCCTGCCATAAAAGCTGAATTTCTTGCAACTTGACCCGTCGCTCCTCAGTCCAACGACAAACTGCTGTCCACCGCTCACCAAGCCTCTGCAAAAGCACGAAACTCATGAACATTCATGAGCCTCACAAGGAAACTCAAAAATCAGATATTCAAACACAGAATTTCCACTTCACAGTAACCTCTACTTTACAGCTACCTCCCTGTCAGTAATCACCATCGTTGTCTTGCACAAAGCTGGAGGTTAAAGCTTCCAACCTATGGCCTTATCTCTGCTCTTGCTGAAGTCAGTGAGCTATCTGATTGACTTCAAAAGGAGAGAACAAAGTAGCAGGAATTCTGTTTCAATAAATTGTGTTTCATGCTCCCTATACTTAGCTTACAGTCTAACTTCTGACAAAAACAGGAAAATACTTCACACAATACTCTCTAGATAAATAGTGCTTACGTCTTTCAATATTTTTCCCAACAGATTTTAACTTCCAAAGGAAAATTACTTACATGAAATCAGAGTTGTACTGTGCATCTCCCCATTTTAATGAAACTGCTGAAAGGATACGCTATAGAATTGCCTAAGTCACTAGGAATGCAAACAGCTTGACTCATCAGGAACTGAGCTTGAAAGTCACCAAAGCACTTTTACAGGTTTTACTCTGAACAAATTTAATAATTCCTCATGTTAGTATTACTTCCAAAAAATATTACTTTAAATTACCTTTAGGATAAATTGTCTTTAAATACAACTTTTTTTTAACAATTACATGCCAAGGTTTTAAGCACCTGTTACTACAGATAAAAAGAGGGCTCTAACATTTTACCTGCAGTTGTTCCTCCAGAATAGCTGTTGCACTTTCCCCACTGCTTTCATCAACAATGACAACCATGTGCGTTAGGGAGTTTACCTTCACCTGTTCTGTCTCTAGGTCACTCTGCAGGCTCTAGAAGAAGAAATCAGAGGTCACCAGGCCTGAATACATTTGCTACTCTGCTATTTTGGCCACAGCAACTAACACAACTGCTGTGGTAAAGTACTTCAGATTCAGCAGTTAAGCACAGATTTTACCACTGGGAATCACTGCACAGTTTAAATAAGTGTAAGAAAAAGACTGCTAGAAATTAACCCAAAACCATTCTGTTGAAATTTTGGAAGACATGGAGTGTTTTAGGCTGTATGCACCATACTTGCCTGGGAGAATCATACAAACTGCATTGACTTTCTACATGTCTACTATTACAGGTAAGAGAGCTTAAGTGTTTCTATAAAAACCTATTATCATCAACAAGTATCATAGGGCATGCCAAACAGGGAAAAACCACTAAGAATACTAATCTTTTAATAGCTGACAATATAATTCCTGTATCAGTACTATATTGATCATCATGTTCAAAGAAAACAGTCAAAAACTGCAGAAAGCATACCATCCCCATTAGTTTGAAATAATCTGCAGATTTAACAACTTTGAGAAGAACAGCATCCATGAGTAAAGCCTACCTCCATAATCTCTCCAAGATCAATATGCCTCTGCAGTACTGTAAATATCACTTTTCATCCCAGAATATCATAAGCTACTCTGTGAGCAACACACTTCAAACTCCCCAGACTTTCAAGACAGAGGAAAGAATGCAAGCGTGGGACAGGAAATTTTACAGACTAAAAATACTCTGCAGTTCTTGCCCTGTGAGGTATGTCCCACGCTGGGAAGAAGGTGAAACCTTCATCACTTAGTATGAAAACCAAAACTGTAATCATGACAAGTATCAAAAGGCCATCTTTCTCCTTCAAAAAAAACACTGCAGGCTAGCAAGGGTGGACTCCCATCTGGAAAGTTAATTGAGAGACAAACCGCTCCCAAAACATCCTGCCCATCAGAGAGCAGTGTCTACACACCCCCTTCAGATGCAATCCCTGTAAAAGCAGGGACTGGAATCAGTAGCTTGGGTGGCCCTTCCTGATAGCTTTAACCCCTGCACGATTTTAATCTGCAAGTCTCAAGCGCGCTTTAGCTATACCTGCCAGTCATTAAAGGCAAGTCTGTCCACAGTATGTTTCATACTGTCCCTCACACCGACAATTTACCTGGAGAGGCCTAATTTCCTGCACAAAGTGAGGGGAACAGAGTTTCCCCTCCTACATGAAGCAAGTGTAACAGTTTCTGCTACAGTCATCAGTACCCAAGGGTTCAGTTAAGAGAGAACTTCCCAAAACTTCCAATTCCTTTCTGCTTCACCATCCTCCTCCTCTAAACATCAAATGCAGTCCTTCAGCACGCAGCCACATGTGACTGCTGACACAGTTGAGTTTCTCAGCTAAGGAAACCACCAACATACACATCCTTCAAATACTTCTCCTGTATGTATTCTACAACAGACAAAAAGGCTTACTTTATGTTCTTCCAACTGTTTTTGAAGGGACTCCAAATCTTCCGCTAAGAGCTGAGATTCCATCTTCTGAATGCGCTGTTCTGTGACCGTCAGCCAGTCAGACAGCTGCTGCAACTGCTGCTTCTGGAGCTCCATCAGCATGTCGTGCAGGCTGCCGGGGCAAGCACAGGCAGAGTTCTCAGTTATTTCTTATACTTTTATATAAACAGGCTGCAGGGGCAAGCACAGGCAGAGTTACCTCAGTTATTTCTTATACTTTTATATAAAAATCAAAAAAAACCCAGTTATATGTATATGAAGAAGGTGGATTTCACATACAAACCAAATAGTTAATTCTGAAAAAAAAAAATCCTACAAACAGATGCAAACCAACTCCTCTGAGATGCTGTAAGGCCCAGAGATGAGCCCTGCAGCTCTGGGAAAGGTTGTGTGGCAGGACTCACCGGGACTGCCTGTCCATGCTCTCCACCCGGAGCTCCTCCCAGCGGGAGTTCAGCAGCAGCATTTGCTCCTGGATCTCAAACTCCTCTTCAGGTGACAGATTTCCCTGGGCCACCAGTTGGTTTCCAGCCTGCAGAACGCTGCCCACGCTGCTCTGGTGCTCAGTCAGTTCCATCATAAAAGCCTGGAAACAGTACAAAAAGCCACATCACCATGACCCATGAGCTCCTACAGTTCATGAATTTGTAAGGGTCCTAACAAATTGTCATGTTTGAATACAGTGCTGCAGAATGAGCTGGCACCAAACACACAAGCATGGCAGACCTGTTACTCTCTACAACAGAAGATTCTCCATGAGCTACAAAAATTCTGGAGCCAGTAAAATAGAGATAGTTGACGAAAAAAGCTGACCACCTCAGAAAAAAAGCTGTTGTAAGAAGACAGCCTTTGAACAAATGTGCCAAGAAAACAAAACAGAAACTTACCTATGGCCAACAGAACATAGAACAAGATCTGAAATGTATCATAGAATATCAAGTAGAACCCCATGAGTTAGTAACATTTAAAATTTGCATATTTAGAGTATATCCAGAATACCTCTTTCCTTTGATTCATGGCTTTAAAACTGTACATGTTTCATGTGCATGAAACAATGCAAAAAAAACGGATCAGCATTCAGATGTTAAATTCAATTGTATACAGGCAAGCCATAAAAACTAAACTAGGAGAAAAGTAAAACCTCTAACACAACACTTGAAACTTTTAGGAACATTAGAACATTTGTTCAGACTTGAAAGAGAACCAAAACAAAATAGTTTGGAAACAACAATTTGGAAGCAACATGTTTCTGAAATAAACTATGCCAATCATGATGGGGAGACCACTGAATTAAACTGACTTGATTATCAATTTCAGCATTGCCTTCATTTAATAGCAAGTAACATAAGGCTGATCAAGCTTTTTAGTAGTTGGCAGCAGGGAAGTGTGAATCCGCCTGGATCAGATTGTATTTGTATTATAGACACCAGTGAGCCAGTCATCGAAAGCTGACTAAAAAAATTCAAGTTTCAAAGCATACTCCACTGTAAGTTCTAAAAAGATCTCTCTCACCTTCAAGTAGCTATTATTTGTCAAAAAAAAAAAAACAAACCACCAAACAAAAAACCCCCATCGCATTCAGTTAGATATGCTTTTAATTTAGAGAAAGACAAAAGAAACAGAATGGCAGGCTTTGGATAAGGACTACTCAATAGAAGTTCTGCAGCTCCCCCCCACACACACAAGAAAACCCAACAAATTAATTCTCAAGAGAAGCTTACTTCATGGGTGGAAAACTGCGCTTTGACTTCCTCAACATCACCAGATATTTCCTCCTGTTCCCGGAAGGTATCCTCAGCTGACAGCAACCATGTAAGAACTTCTTCCAGAGCAACTTGGTAGCTATCCAAGTCCATATCCACCTCTGTCACCGTGCTGGGAGTCTCTGCTCTAGAACTGGCCTGATCCTCTTCCAGTGCTACAGCCTAGGCAACCAAGAGAAAAGTGATGTCTTGAAAGTGCACAGAAGATGCCTTCCCAAATGATACTAGGGATAGAACAACTGAGATCCCTTTTAATCCTTCATAAACATGTTCAAAGTTATCATTGGGTACATCTTAACGAGAGGGGCCACAGTTACCACTAATGAACTTCAATTTAAAATGAAGAAAAGACAACTTTAATCTTGCTCATTTACCAGTGGATTTCACACCCAAAAAAACCCCATGACTACTGCCACCACCAAAAGTCCTATGGCAAATTTGGTTAATGATTTTGGGTCACCCTCTCCAGCTTGCCAAGACAAATGAGAAAGAAGTAGAAGAAAGAAGCATAACACAGATGGAACTTTATATCTCAACACACAGGATTTTGTACATTAATCAGAAAATTAAAAAAAAAAAAGGAAGACAGAACACAAAGAAGATGCTATTTCCATATTTTCCCAATTGTGTTGCCCAAGATAGAAGGACACGTTCCAGATATAACTGACAAGACTGAAGATCTGCTAAAATTACAACTCGAGAAAATCCAGGCAGACTTTGATGACAAACATACCTGCTGCACATTGAACTCTCCATCCTCACACTCCTGCTTGTATCTCCTTGGAAGGGTCTCCACCTCCCGGATGTCTTCCATCGTGACTTGCTTAGGAAGGACCTCAAACAAAGAGGTTAAATACATAATAATAGACTTTTTGTCTGGAAGCTGTACAGCAACATCTGCATCAAAAAAGATAAAATATGGGAAAAACAAACTAAGTAGCTGTTTTTCTAACTCATTACTTAGAATACAGTTAAGACCTTACATATAGTGTAAATAACAGGTTCTCCTGTTAAGTAACCTTTAATAAGCTTTAACTTAAAAGGCTAAGTTTTATATATGTTGAAAGCAGTATGAAGGAGAAAAAAATTTTAAAAAGTTTCTACATTTGGAAGTGAATTCACATTAAAAGGCATGATCTTTTTGAAGTAAGAGACCAGATCTGAAATTAAGGGATAAAAACTGTTTGGGAAAAATTATTCGGGAGCACCTGCTAAGCAGAAATGCAGTTCAGGGACAGCATCCCACGTAAACAAACATTTCCACTTAGGCTCTATCCCCACTCCCAGCACTGGTTGGCTCATTTTCTTACTTTTCATACAGGAGAGAGTTTCTCCAACTCAGGCTGGCTTCTCTCTCTGAGTGCTACCCATTCCATTAACATTTTTGTTTTTAAGAAGGTGGTGCTTGAATCTATAAAGTTTGAGAGCTTGTCTTCCAAAATGAATCTTTGGAGGCTCACTTCAAAGCAGAGCAACAGCTCAGGATTTTTTAAAAAAACTTCACCTTCTGTACACTGTCTTAGAATGGTAAGTCAACCCAAACCTTAACATTCCAGAAGCTGAACAGATGCATGCACAGACATACTTTTGCCCTACAAATTACATTCTTTTAAACCCAAACTTAAGGGCTTGAAACAAAATATCACTGCACAAAACCACTAGAATTTGTATTAATGGTAAATGCCAACAGAAGAAATCTCTCAAAATAGCTCAAAAAACTTCTCCTCAAGTAAAATAACTGTATCCCACCTTCAGGATCCAACAGTTTCTCAATTCCCAAGTGGTTCTTGGCTATGCTGAAAGCATGTTCCAATCTCTCAACTGGGGACATCTTTATAACTTTATCCCAGCTGAAAAGCTCAGGTCTAAAAGTAAAGACAAAACAGGAAAGAAAGCTTTAAATTTTACCTGAAGGAAAAATTGTGTACCATGCAGAATATGAAGTTACAGGTATGAAGGTAGCTACTTAAGTAATATTAACACACACATACACTAAAAATATAAACATAAGTGCATATACACATGTGCTTTCTTTTTATTAGTGAGATTCTAGCAATCAGAAATCAATTCACTGACTGCACATCCACAGCAACACCCCTCTTCCAGTCTATGTATTCTATACATACACTCATTGACTGCAACAGGAGATTAAATACTACTAATAAGAAAATCAACTGTTTAAAATTTATTCCAGAACCAGTTTTCTTCAGTTGTTTCTTTCACAGCATTACTGTTACTACATGCTTTCTGCATCAGGCTCTACTGGGTAAATCAAGAGTCACTCTGTTCTGGTGAGCCTCATTCCAAACTTGTGATGTGACTCAGTGACCACCCCAGAACACCCCTGCCAGGAGCAGCAGTGGTCTCCACCCCTACTCGCTCACCGTGCCCCACAGCCTTTTTCCCCATTAAAAAAAAAGCCTACAAAAAATCCACCCCATGACAATTGCTCATGAGAGTCACAATGCAAATCAGACTAGGCAGCTGATCAATTTACAGTGCCAGCCGCCTTCATCTCAAATTAACATTAACCAAACTAAATCTCCACTCCAGATGTGCACCCAAAACATACCAGCAGGTCTCAAGGGGAAAGAGCAAAGCATGCAGCAGGAAGCAGGGTCAGCAAACACTGCCCCTTCCTACCTGGAGTGCCAGGGCATGATCAGCCTGGTGCTGCAGCAGTACAGCTGTAAGACTACAGAGCCATTAAAACACTTTCCATTCCCCTGTAACACTGGCTTCTCATTGATTCTGTGCTTTAGAGAACTTGGAGAGGAAGAGATGGGCTTGCCTTTTATTTTTCATACTTAAGTCAGTTGTAAATTGACCTGAGAGCATCCTTGTAACATCTGTTGAGTCCTCACACTTTGTGAAACAGGAAGGTCCGAGAAGCAAAAAGCCAGAGGAAGGTGGGGTGAGCAGGAAACAGTGATATGCAAAGATCCTCACAGAAGCTGGTGGAATACTGTACCTCCATGCAAGCAGCAGCAAGGATAACCACATAGATTCACAAAGTTTCAGTGGAGACTCTTACTTTGAAAAACACATTGCAGTAAGTGTATTGTATATGCACTACCTGCACACTGCCATGATAACACAAATTTTAATAAAATGCAATCTAGGTATTTACCTATAAGCAAGAAAATGAATTGAATTCTGCTCTTCAGTGCCAAAGAGGAACTAAGCTAATATTAGGAAATGAAGGAGACCAGCACAGTAAGATGTTAAAATGTCCTATTGCCTCATATAATTTTATTAAGTACTGCAAGTGTCATAAAGTTACTAGATATTATAGCCAAGAGGTAACACTGCTAACAATTGTTGATACATACATAAAGAGAAAAGCAAGATATTAAACTTCTTAATGGGATCCACAAAAATTCTCCAATATTAAGCATCATATCAAGCTAAATTAAAAAAGCAATACTGAAAATGCCCCTTAGGCAGGGAAGCACTGCTCTCTGGGTAAGTCAAACAGCTTTTCTGTCCTACCACTTTGCAACCTGACATAATCCCCTTGTTCCTTGCAAGTGCCTTTTAAAGCTTCTCTTTCAAAGCCAACCTAAATTTAAACCCAGCTCAAGACTTCTCTGAAGTGTGGGGAAAATGGTGCTCCCCTGGCTAAAGGACTGGTGCCCAGGGACAAGCAAAGCTGAATTCTGACAGCTGCCAGGCTCCCAGGAAGAGGGAATAACAGGCTTGGAGATCAGCAGAGACAGGTAATTGAGAAATTTTAGGAAGCCAGAGGAAAGCAGTTACTCAGTTAAAATCTTCAGCAGGGATGCAGTGCTCTGAAAAGGGCAGAGCTTGCAGACTTCAGATCCTCCAAAGCCTAAGCACATAGTCACAACACAAGGACAACAAACAGCCTGAAGCCAGTTTGGCTACCTCTCTCCTTCTGCTTCCCTCAGGTCACCTAGGTCTCACTTGTGTCTAAAGCTGGGTCTCTCTCCATCACAGCAGCAGAGCTACACCACTACAGGCAATTATGCCGGTATGGAAACCATCAGTACAGCTCACACCGTCCAGAGGAGGGACTTGGTAATACTTCTGATAAACTCCAGAGAGACCTTTGCTAATATTGCTCTGCCATTGCAGAACAATCCTTCCAGACTTTCAGGAGCCCTCAGTGTGGTGCAGGCATTCCCCACTGTCTTGGTGTCAGGACCACCACCACCACGTGGTCGCAACACCACCTCCCCCCCCCACTCCTCTCCCGGTAAGATGGGGGCAAATAAGAAAAAGTGGAACCTCCTGAGTTGAGATAACGACAGATTTTTAATAATACCACACGAGGAAAACAAAAGAAAGAAGAATATAACAATAAGACAAGATATAGAGTACAATGGAAACACTGATACAATGAAAATCTCACCACCACGAGCTTCACAAAAGAGACCCCTCTCCCGGCTAGCTTCCCCTTATATCCCAGGCATGACGTCAGCATGGTATCGAATATCCGGCTATGCCCAACTCCCAGCTTCTGCGAAGAATTAACCCTATCCCAGCTGGACCCAGGACACCCACCCATCCATGCAGCCTGAACACAAGCCAGCTCTGGTCTGGTGTCAGTGCAGACCCATCCAGAGAGCCTGTGAGAGAGCCCATTATTTCACTCACCACAGACTGAACGGGCACTTAAGAGCAGAGAACAGCAGGCTCAAAGGGAACACACGCTTTTGCAAACTTTGTATCTCCTAGGTATAAATATTCCGGATGTTTGTAAAGCATTTGCCATGCCCGATACCTGGTTGCCAGGAGGTCTGGTTAAATTCTAGAAATTATCATACCATTACCATGTTAAAATGGTTAAGGTTAAGAACAGTCAGCCCTTGCAAAGCAATGAGCTGACTTCATTTAAGGTACACTGGATTAGAATGCATCGCCCAGAAGTAGACTTCAAAGAAAAATCTGAAAATAAAATGTTTAAATAAAATGCAAGTTTCACAGGAGTCTGTAACAATGATTTCTTTAAACTACCAAAGAGTTCTCAAAAAAATCAGAAAGAACACAAAAGATCTGTTTAAAGCAGCTTTAACACCATTCCTTATAAAGTACAATGAACAAACTAATGAATACTTTATAAGATACCTAAAGTATTCTATTACCCTTTCATTCTTCAGCTCAACAGTTCGCCTGGATGAACTGCAGACGTTGTCTTTCAGGCAAGATATATTCAAAAATTAAGAAAAGCTACAGTCTTATTCCTTCGTTTTGAAGCTTCTGTCTCTTTTTACTAAAATGATATGACAAACTCTCACTGAAGAAATGTTTCCCTGTGCAGAGGAAGGAGGGCAGGAGGAAGCAGAGGGGAAGGATGTGGTCAGCCCGCCCTGCAGAGACCTGCCCAGAATATTGACTGTACAATGCATACTAAGTGGGATGTAAATCCACTTCAGTTAGTACATGTGCATGCATGTGCAGGAACTGAGTGTTACACTGCTGCCTTGGCTCCATCCTTTGCAAGACTCTGGCAATATCCCTCCACTGATATTATCACAACCAAAAAACCCACCACAAACAATGAATCACTGAAACAGGCTAGAAGCTGTCAAATGGTCAAGAATGAAGACATGGGAAAAATCTGCTTTCTTCACTGTGTCCAGGTTAAGCTTTTTGCTACTTACTTGTGCCTGTGGATGACAGCATTAAAGGCCAGTCCATCTGCCCAGCTTGTGGTGAAGTTCAGAACATTGACCTGACTGTAAGGTCTTGTGGACTGCCGAACCCAGCTCAGCAGGATCTTCTCACTGTTGGTCTGCTGCAAATCTGACATGATGTTCTTCATGACATCCTTCACCTGCAAGTCAGCAGCAGCTACATCTTACAGACATTTTCTCCACTTTTCCTGCTTACACAACCTTTGAACCAAGCTATTTCACAAATCATGAAAGGGTCTTTCCCATGAAAAGTTGAGTCAGAGTTTAACTCCTCACATGAAATTTGGGAATAGGAGTCTTCAAGCCATCTTCGCACTCTACTGATTAAAAGAACCAGTTAAGCTTCGTATAATGACACATCACTCTTGTGCTACAATCCTCCCACTCTCATCAGTGCTGCCTACACTAAGCATAGGGTATAACATTTCACACTGCCACGTGCTGTGGTTCCACCAGTAAGCAAACCCCCAAAAGTACAGCTTAGAGGTTTTCTGCAAGGGGAGGGTATCTGCTCAGACAACAAAAGTAGCTTGCTGCTTGAGTACTGTGCATAGGCATCTGCTGAAGTCCCTCCAGGCAAATTCAATGGTCTTCCCAGGTACCTGGATAAACCAGGAGCAATCCAATCTATTAGACCAAGAAACAAACCTACAGAGCAGCATGTAAGATGCAAGCCCCATGCAGTTACCTAGACCTGTTGACAGAAGTGCATAAAAGCCTTCAGGAAGGAATATAAATACAATGCTTCAGCCTGAAAAGCCTCTCTGCAATTAACACCAGCAGGAGAGAATTAACACCAAGAGGCTGAGAACAACTGAGCACATACAAGAACACGTGTCGCAGGAGGCAGCCAATAGACAGAGATCAGGAACCAAACACTGGCCTGCCTTTATTTACCAGTCCAAAACAGAAGCAGCATTCTCTACCAGCAAAACCCCGGGAAGGTTTGTGAGAACCCCAGAAGATCAACGCACATGATTCCCAGAAAAGAAGAAATCTCACAGCAGTGTCTCACCTGCCAGTGCAAGATAATGCTCCACAGCAGACCCAGCGTCAGCTTGTGATTTCCATCAACGATGTCAGTTCCTCCAATATTCACCAACTCCACCTGGAGAGATCAGATCAACTCCATATTAAACATTGGTATCACAGCTTTAAGTTGCAACTCCACCCCATATTCCTGGCTGTCTAGTCATCTATTATCAACTGCTCTTTAATACAAAGTAGCTAGAAAGAGAGAATCAGAGATGACAGAGTACCATATCTGAATTTGTCATGACAACTGCTTAAACAACATAAAAAAAACATGTCACCAAAAGAAGATACTGCACTGGAAAAGTTTTGTCCTCTAGCCTAATATACAGATGCATACCAGCAATCAAAACTGACCACTAGAAATGCAAACATGAAGGACCTGACATTAAAAAAAGTTAAGCAGTCCTGCTCCTAGACACATCCACAGATATTACAGAACCATGAAAACTCTGTAATTAAGAAGTTCACCCTTTACATGAACCAGCATCAAAACACAAGTTTATAAAAGGAGACCAAAAGCTCAAAAGAAAAATACAATTTAAGTTTCCTATATGTATAGGACCCCATACAGACTCAGTGATAGTTTGAGATCATTAAAAAGATAAAAACATGGAAAGAGAGAGGAGGAGATTGCATTATCAAGTGAGAGGGTATCAAGTATTCAGCCATCAGAAGCAGCAAAGCTTAGAGCACACTACCAGATACTCACTCGGTGCTGCTTCGGATTCTAAACTGAACTGGGGCACCAAGTCCCCACTCAGGCAATGCACAGAAAGCAGGACTAACTCTGCACCACCTTTTGGAGGGAGCTAACTGCATTAGTCACCACCATGCCTACAGGAACGGTGCCAGGAACCGCTGCCTATGGCAGATGAGGCAGATACCTCCCTGGGTGTATGTACACATACAGCAGATGCTGCAACACACTCCCACACAGGGCTGATGGGGGGGCTTCATTCTGGTAAATAACCACAGCCAGGGGCATCCCCCAGCCCCAGGGCAAACAGCACAGTGCATTTCACCTCCATGGGGGAGCTTTTTTCCTCCCTTTCTCACCCCTGCTCCAAAACAGTGTTACCCACAGTGCTTACCAGAAACACCTCCCAGCTCACACTGACCCTAAGAACTGTGTCTGGGCATTGCTTGGGACCAGAACATGTCACAGAGACAAAACCTGCAACTAAGGAGCTGGCAAGCAATAAACAATACAGAAAGCCACAGGACAGGCACTAAGCCCACACTCTGACTCTCGGTGGACATAGTCTACAATGACAGAATAGACAAGAACAAAGCTTCATTTCGTTTTAGAGGATATTGCTGATCTATAAGAACAAAGTTATTCCATGAATGTTTTTCCTCTTATCACACAATCACAAATAGCTTCATTTCTGCAAAATGTACTTGTAACCTCATTGCTTTCAGATATCATCTTGACAATTTTCAGTTCCCCATAGGTGTCTTGGTTAGGGGAACTAAATTAACACTGTTGCGAGATTAACATGGAACCACAAATTACACTTCAAAGTACTAAGGAAGCTTGTGGCTTTGTGGATTGTCCTCTCCCAGTTTCCATGGCAGCTGGAACAGAACCTTACAGCAATACTCTTTGCAAATACTGGGCGCATATTTTAAGATAACTCCAAATTAAACAGGCACTAACAGGCCAAAGGAATCACCAGTGCAGATCATTAAGCAACGCACTGGAAAGCACTCTAGAACATAAGGAGCAGAAAGCAAGACTAAAGGTCAAGGACACAAAAATAAAATATTTACATTGCAAGAGCTTTTTTCACCTGTAATAGAAAAAAAAACACTCCTGAGAATGGGTAAGAAGAAATTATTTCCCATTTTTTAGTCATACATCAATAACAACAATGCTGCATTCCTCTTGTTATCTACATCATAGATAAACAAAAATACTTCATGTGTCCATTTTTGTATTTTAATGGTTCCAAATTAAACCAATGTTTTGCAGGATGCAGATGTATTAGGATGGCGAGTGGACTACTAAGACTTAAGATAATCAATAAAAGAAATCTGACAGTAGACAGTACTATTGACAGGAGACTGTTATTGGCTATATGTAATGATTTATAGAGGATTTTTAAAAATTATTATTTTTAAAAACTTGGTCCACAAATCAAAGTTGAAATTCATTACATAGACTCATTCTGCTCAGGAGATGGATAAGGTTCACAGGATCACTTGAACATCTACACCCTAGGCTTGCCTGATCCTTGCAATATATATTTAAACACTTATATATTATTTCACAAGTTATGAATATTGTATAGCCCACAAACTCTCAGGCAACTGATGTAATTGCTTCTCAGTGGATGCCTTTTCCCTTCACCTTAACACACACACTTCAAAATGAACTTAAGCAGTAGGTATAAGTCATGTTTGACCTTAACAACCTCCAGCTAACACCATCTGCTTACTTCTAGAAACCCAGATCCAGCCAGCTTAAGGAAGAACTAATAATTGTAACTCAATATTAATTCATTTATTATCTTCAGAAAATAAACTAATGTCAAGCTGAAAAGACTCATTACTTATCCTTAGGAAAAAATATATATAATATTTACAGCACCTCAAAAAAGAGAAAAACCCAAAAACCCACCACTAAACTTTGGCTGCCTCCTACACCAACACGGAGGGGAAATTGCAGCATTATACAGCATGCTCATATCACTCTTCAATCAGCAGTTTACATAAATATGTCAGTGCCTTTTTGCTTTAGATGTATTTTATTACCAGAATGTTCTTAAGTTATTTTAGTGCCCCTACATTTGCAAATAGAAATTCTAAGTATAGAGAGAGTACTCTTACCAGGAATTGTTCTTCAGGGGAAAAATAAAATCAGTTTACTACAGCACTGCTGGCTTCCAAGCAGTGAAAAAACACAAACAAAAATGAAACTAAATTATTATGATGATTTTTCTTAAAGAACGATTAGGGTTTGTTTGCTCTTCTAATCAGTTACCAAAGCTCCAAATTAGAAACACTCAATACAGACTTGACACAGAGCTGATAGACGTCAATGGAAAGATCCTCCTGGATTTTGAGGCAGGACACAAAAAGAGAGAGACAAAACCTGTCATACCCTTAGATTTTTCAAAAAGTTATGCATCATCACTAGAAATTGTTTTTGTCCTGCGAGGTTCACGAGCAATGCTTGGCAGAGCTTCAAGTCACCTTTGTTTGCGGAGCTGAACACATTAACAAAACACAGCTTAGTTAATAGCATTATTAAGTTATCATTTTAAGATTTCACAAAATTGCCAGACACTGAAATTCTATATCAGATAAGGAAAACTGAGAACACTTTACTCATTTTCATGAATTCTCATTTTAGGTACCAAAAAACTTTCTCTGCATTTTTAACTCATTTACACACAGGAATAAATTAAAGAGTCTATCAAAAAGTTGTAGAAAAACATGCTCACATTGTTCTGATGCAAGACTTGCAGTACTCGGTTGACATTGTTTAAGGCATGTACTCGCGTGGAACCTCGTTCTTTAGGCTGAAAATAAAGAATTACAATCTGTTCACATCAGAATTAACTTGACAGACCAAACAAAATAAATGATAGAACAAACAGGAAACCTGTCTTAAAAAAAAAATTAAATATTGAGAAAGTTAAGTCAGAACAAAAACCAAACAAGATCATCCACAACTATTTCAAAATTAAAACTAGTCAGAACAATATTCACCAATTCAAGGTACAGGACAAGCTTTGGATTCAAAATGTGTTTCGGTTCATCTTTAGTAAATCCAGAATTCTTATTCCCAGCATCTGCAGAATTATAAACTGGCAATACAACAGCAAAGTGGGAGTTCCCAGGGAAAATCTGAGGGTTTTGAATGTTTGCCAGAGTAGTTGAAATTTTTTGGCTCCCAAGTGGGAACAAGCAGCAATTTGTTTTTCTGGCACCAAAAGCCTGCTAAGTCTGAGAACTTCCCTTTGCATACTGGGAAGAAGTTATGCTTCCTGACTTTCCCTTCCTTTTAATATCGGAGGGGGGAAAAAAAAGAAACACTGCAGCTCTTGGCAATACCTGCCACTCCATTTGCTTTTAATTACCACAATTTAACTCCTGTGGCAGAACAAGATCATACTGCAAAAGCACAGAGCTGAACATCGAACACAGTAATAACAAAATTGGAAACCCAAAGACTTTTATTGTGTTCAGTATACCTCAAATCAGACCACAAATCATTAGAAGTACTAGTGAAATGCATCTGTTTAAAAAACAAGGCAAGCTTGCAAGGTGAATTTAAAAATGGTTGAAGGTTTTCCACAAGGTCAGTAAACAAATTTAAGATTTATTATAAATAGAGAAATCAAGAATTTAATCCCAAAGGATAGCACAGGTTTCACCATGCCTCATCTCTTTCTGAAGAGGTATCAAAGTGAGCAGGGGAAGAGTTTTCAGCCCCACACACACTTTCCCAGACAAGACCTGAGGAGTTTTTAGTCCTCTATCTGTAGATCACAAAGGATATTTTCAACAGAGATGTAAATTTTTGTATTACCTACAAGCTGTTATCATTTTTTCTTTTGTAACAGCTCTTTCATGGGCTTATTAGAAAAAGTCCACAGGTATGCAGCCAGAGACTGTTCTTCCAGATCATCCAGAAGCAGACCTTTAAAAGATCTCTATTAAAAATACACACTGTGTAAATAACACCACTGGTTTTACATGCTTTGCTAAGCAATGTGTCAGCCCTCAAGAAACGGTTACACACACAGCTAAGTCCAGCCTGACCCTATATCCCATGGAGTTCATGGGAATTTCACTGGAACTGTAGAGACCAAGTACATATTACAAGCAAAATGGGTTTTTAAATAAATTAAAATTTAAAAATCACATGCTGCAGTTTGGGTTTAGTGTGGTTTGTTTTTGTTTTTTTTAATAAATGAGAATGACTCACACACATTTCTCTTACCAGAGGTTTCCCTGTCAGACCCTCCAAAAGGTCCAAAAGCTTCCTTCCATCTTTCAGATCTGTGAACATGTCCTTAACTGGGGGCTTCCCACTCTGCAGAAAAAAATGAAAGCAGTAACAGTGTTCAAGCAAAACCTCCCTGAAACAAAAGCACTTCCTCCTTTTTACCTTTCAGTTCATTCTTATTTAGCACTAAACATAGTAAACACAAGCTAAGGCACTGTAACAGATCAGGAAGGCATCCTTCCCTCCTTCAATTTTTTTTTTTTTTTCCTCTCCCCACCTCTATGGTTCTGTGCATCAGCAGCCTTGTACCAAGAAACCAAATAAGCACATCCTGGCTCACGTTAGAGTAGACTCTTAACACAAAGATGGCAAAGAACAAACATTGGCAAGTTTGAGGAAGCATTAGAAAAAGAATGCTTTGGTCTGACTGCATCTAAAGGAGGAAGAAACTGGGGCTTTTCGGAAAGAAGCTATGGGGATAAATTCTATCAGATTTAAAAAGAAAAGAAAAAGAAAAGAGGTCTTGGAATTGAGCCCTGTGTAAGGAGCTGCTCCTCTTCTACACAGTCTAGTAGATCAAAAGGCACAATATATACTGAAACAAATTAATCATTTTCTCTACCCTGGAAAAAGAAGCAAAATGTGAAACTCAGAGCTACTCTAAACCACACATTTCTAACACTCTTTTTCTTTGGGACCCTGTACAAGAATGGTGGGACATGACAGCAGAACAGTGTTAAAGTTCGCCACACTCCCTTTCATTCTTATTTCTTCTTGAACACTAAGATAACATGGGGAAGTGTTACAGGGCAGGAGGAGAAGACACAGGCAGACAGCAGATAAGTGCATTTGCTTTGTAGTTTTCATCTGCTGGGTGCCAGCAGATCAATTAAGCTACTGCTTTCAGGGTCCCTTTCAAGTGCCGATTTGAGAAGAAAAATATTTTCTAAAGGGTACATAACATAAAACCCTAACATGGCCTTTTTCTACCATCTTGGCAGCCTTCCTTCTGAAGAGCAGAGGGCCATCTTACATGACATACATTTGCTGACATAAACCTCCTACCTGCACTTGCCTCCTCCTGCCCTGACATCTGCTAGTAATGGTCAAATGCTGGATAACAAATTAAAGAAAGCTGAAGTGCCCACTGAACCCCATTTTCCAGTCAATATCTCTTTCAATCAAAACTCATGATGTTTTTTCTTAAAAGTACACTTTAGAAATGACACCAAAGCTATTCACAAAGAATCAGAGTTGAATAGCTACAGAGCCACATTTCAGTCTCCTGTACAGAAACACACCTGACTCGTAGTATCAACCAGCTAACCTAATAGCAGCAAGAATGATCATATAACTAACATTACTTCTTAAAATACACAGATGCCAGCCCCAATGTCTGATAATAAATTAGTCTCACAATGAATTTTTCTGACAAATTTATTCTCTAATTACATTCACAAGTCTTCCTTTAAATGTATTTATATACACATGTTGACATACACTTAGGTAAAAGGTGTAGAAAGCTATAGAACTGGCAGACTGATACCAATTAGGAGTATTCATTAAATATCAGCATTTGATAACATTCTACTATTACATATTGCCACTTCCTGAGCTCAACTATACCCTTTCTAGCATAGTAAGGGACAAGGCTTTCCTCCTAGCATGTGCACTTTTCACAGATGCTTCACTGCTATACAGCAACTTAACAGAACCTTTAAAGCACGCTGGAGCGGAACAGGAAGAGTAAGAGTAGATATGTGGACCCTCTTGCAAAGTTCATGGTGTATAATGGGAGGAGATGATCCACAGGGGCAGGGTAATTACCCCAGAAAGAAGCAAAATTTTGGTTAAATTTGGTTTGCATCACCACATGGAAGATACTAGAAGTAGGTTGTCAAGGGCATGAGGAAATTGTTCATGTTTCCAGAAGGACAGAAGGAGCTAACAGAGATCAGAACGTCTCAGAGACATCTCACTGGATGCAATACAACTCAAATGTCTGCTACAAAAGCAAACACCTCTTAGCCATAGAATTGGCTGTGCACAATCTAGTGTGACCAGGCAGTGTGACAGCACAGCACAGGCACAGTCAGGAGCCAACAGAGGAATTGGGACAGCTTCCACTGCAAACCTTTATCTATTTCCTCCTCCTGGGAATAGGTTATCCAACTAATAGCTATTTTGCTTAAACTTCTAGCCTTTCTTCTTGAAATTAAAAGCAGCATTTAAGTACCTCACCTACAGACTCAGAGCACTGAAGCCAAGGTCTGCACATGACTTGCGCAATATATGCTTACAGGCCAGAAAGCCAACCGTGTCCTTGGCTGCATCATAAGAAGCATGACCAGCAGGTCGAGGAAGGTGATTCTCCCCCTCTGCTCTGCTCTCGTGAGACCCCACCTGGAGTACTGTGTTCACCTTTGGAGTCCTCAGCACAGGAGGGACATGGACCTGTTGGAGCAGGTCCAGAGGAGAGCCACAAAGACAGTCAGAGGGCCGGAGCACCTCCCATATGAGGACAGGCTGAGAGAGTTGGGCTTGCTCAGCCTGGAGAAGCTAAGGCTCCAGGGAGACCATATAGCAGCCTTCCAGTACTTCAAGGGGGCTACAAGAGATGGGGAGGCACTCTTCATCAAGGAGTGTCACTACCAGCCCTGGTAAAAAAAGTCTCACTCCATCTTTCTTAGGAGCCCTCTTTTTGTATTGCAAGGCCACTATCCTTTTCTTCTCCAGGCTGAACAACTCAAACTCTCTCAGCCTGTCTTACACAGGAGGTGCTCCAGCCCTCTGGTAATCTTTGTGGCCTTCTTCTGGACCTACTCCAACAGGTCCAAGTCTTTCTTGTACTGGATGCAGTACTCCAGGTCGGGTGGGGTCTCATAAGAGCAGAATAGAGCGGGAGAATCACCTCCCTTAAGCTGCTGGCCAGGATACAATTGGCTTTCTGGGCTGCAAGCACACATTGCTGGCTCACATCCAACTTCGCATCCACCAGTATCCTCAAGTCCTTCTTTTCAGGGCTGCTCTCAATCACTTCATCCCCCAGTCTGTACTGATATTGGGGATTGCCCTGACTGAGGTGTGGGACCTTGCACTTGGCCTTGCTGAACACCATGAGGTTCACATGGGCCCCCTCTCCAAACCTGTCAGGCTCTTTCTGGATGGCATCTCTTCCTTCAAGCAAATCAACTGCATTACTTAGCTTGGTGGCATCCTCAAACTTGCTGAGGGTGCACTCAATCCCACTGTCTACATCCTTAATAAAGATATTGAACAGTACCAGTCCCGATATGGACCCAAGGCACACCACTTGTTACCAATCACTGTGTGGACATGGAGCCATTCCAAATCTGTGGAGGCAGCATCCAGCCAACTCCTTATTCATCAAATAGTCTATCCATCAAACTCACCTCTCTCTAATTCAGCAACAAAGGTGTTGTGTGGGACAGTGTCAAAGACCTTACAGAAATAAGGCCTTTATAATTAATAATTAAGTATAATTATATAATCAAAACAATGCACACATGTATAAGAGACTGAAAATACCAAAACTGAGAAGGCTATAGCTATATAGCCTCAATAAGCTTGTTGCCCTAGGTCTAGAAGTTAAAAAAAGTATTCGGACCTGCTGAAAAAGCAGAAGACACCTCATTTAACATTGAGAGCATACAGCCTTCTTTCTTCATGTCCCAACCCCTCACTTTGCACACATGAAATCAAGCTGAATTACTCCCTGCTTTCAGTCATTCACTTTGACAGGTCATGGTACATTACAGCCCCACACAATGGGCCCTGCTGTGATGGTGGAAATAATTCAGATTCACTTTCTCAGAACAGTTTTTCCATTTCATTGGCCACCAGAGCACCACATCTCGCTGTCAGTTTAAAGAGTCACCTGAAAACTGTCAAACTATTTCTGCCACCTAAGCTACTCCTTCCTGCTTTATTAAAGTATCCACTATTCTCAAGACAAACACATGAACAGGCAAAGCCTCTGTATTTAGTGAAGTCCTGCAGAACACCCTCTATGGGAGGAAGCAATCTCACAGAAGTCACTTGTACAAGTGCAGGGGGACTGCAGGTGGCTAAGAAAGGGGTGCAGCACCCACCCTGCCAAGCCCATCACCACCTCCACAGCAGCACACTGTCAGCAAGGCTGCAAACCTGCTCCACCTGCTTCCCACACACCCACCCGAGGGACCCAGTCAACAGCAGCCACCCAGGCAGCCCCAGCTGTCCCATCAGGGCACAGAGCCAGCCCACAGCGCTGCTGTCGCAATGGGAACAGACTATGCACATGCTGCACCCTCCTCTGCTCACACGGCCTCCTCCCACCCACACATCCTCCTCACACCTGGACACATTTCCACGCAGGATCTGCTATCCACACCACACGGTCTGCAATCAGGAACATCCCTGCTCTGTCCTCCAGCGCACAGTGCAGCAGGATGCTGCCCAGATTTCCTGGGACGCAGTTAACAACCTGCTGTGCTTCAGAAAGTCTTTCACTTTCCCTTTCCAGATAGAGCAGCTACATATCCCAGGTTTTGACAGCTATAAGACTCAAAGTTGAAGCTTATAAAGGTGCTGGAAAATGATTTTATAAAATAGCAGCCTAAGGGATGGTTCCATACATCCGTTTCCTGAGAGAAGATAAGGAAAGCCTCTGGGGCAACACTGGAAGAACAGCTACACAAGCTCTCCCACACCAAGCACAGGCCATCCCAGAGCAGGCCAGACTGCTGCCATCACCACCATCTCCCTGGGAGACAACAGATGCAGAGCCCCATCTCTTTGCATGTAGGACCCACCCCTGAGCCCACCAGGGGAGGCTGCTGTGGCAGCACAGAGGCAGTCTGCGAACCACAATACATGACCAGGGAGGCTGAACCTGTGCTTTTAGTGAGGAAGCCTAATCCAAACCACATTCCAGCAGGACCAGGAGCACTCGGCCTCAGGCTCTGACCCAGCATGGGGCACCTGATAGGTCCCTGGAGACAGCACTGCCCCAAGCCATGCTGGGCAACCCTGGGACCTACTCTGTGCCAGGGCAGACTGGTATGCTGCAGCGAGAGCTAGGGCTC